TGATGAGACCATTAAAAAAATTCTCCATGGGAATGTTTTTCAGAATTGTAATATTACATTTAATGTGAATAAATGATTTTTATACGAATTTTATTATATGTACACTTATAAATAGCTTATTTTAATAATATAAAGTATAAATAGCTTATATAAAGTATAAATGGTTTATTATGATATTATAAAGTATAAATAAAATATCTAAAAATATAGTATGTTATGATCATATGTACCTGAACGATAATAACAAATAAAGGTGGCACGTAATACATAGTCATGTGGTCAGTGGTCACATCTTTCACGATCTCACATGATATATACTCGTTATTCCATGGGTATCAATGAACCCTTCGGGGGCCCCCAAGGCATCGGTGTATATGGAGTATTTATTAGATACCCATGGAATAACAGGTTTATCTCATTGTGTATGGCGTATACACCGATGGATTTTATACTTTTTTATACTTTTTCTATACCGGTGGAATAATTTACAAAAAAATCCATCAGTGTATACATAATACCGATGGGATAAAACACCGTACGATCACTGCATATAATGAAGATCATTATCATAATTCATAAGTATATAATCACGGGTTAGTCCAAGAATGAAAAAAAAAAATTTGTCTACACTTCGAGAAATTTTAATGTCAAATAAAGTTACATTCATAACACTTATATAAATGTAACTAGGTGTATTAATACTAGGGTTGGATTAGTCCGGTCCAGTCCGGTTCCGGTCCCAAAAGACCGGTCTTCAGCCAGGGCCGGACCGGTCCGGTCTTTTGACCGGTCCTTAAAATTTTTTAAATTATCTTATTTGTAATAGCAGTATTGTTAGGTTGGATCAACGAGATAATGAAATACAGGTCGCACTAAAATTATGACATTAATTTGTTATTTATTACCAGTTACCTTTGCTATCATTGTAAACTAGTAAGTATGACCCAAATATATAAAATCTCAAAGTTTAAGAGCAAAATACTGGATAGAATTTTAAGACTTTATAACGACTATCAAAAATATGAAAAAAAAATTGCAACAGGAATTATCAAATTGATGCTGATCATATAACACAAAATTGCATATTTTTTATTTCTCGTACTTTAACATTTTAAAGCATCAGTGAAATCATATTGATATTACAAAATACCAACATATGAAAATTTTGATATTTTGAAATGAAACCTTAATTAATAATATATAATTTAACATTTTTATATTAGATGATAAATTTTATATAATCAGTGCCAGTCGGACCGGTCCTCAAATCTCGAACTGAAGACCATAAAGACCGGTCCAAATTCCAAAGACCGATACAGGACTTCTGGTCTTTGCTAGGACTAATTGATACAATGCATTACGTAATTACGTTACTTTATAATGAAAGTGTTGTCATAAAATCACTTGATTCTGCTAAGAATATTTTTATGGAAAAGCGTTGGTTAATAATCAGTGAATACTTTTATGACTTATCAAGGAAAATTTGATGAACACTTTTGAGCAATTAGAGGATTTTGAGGATCTTCTTTATTCAAAGGAAAAAAATTCAGTCATGTGTTGTTAGTACAGGAGCGTATTTGATGACGTGAAATCAATTTACCACGCTCTTTTTTATTTTAAAATAAATAATAAATAAATAATAAAATAAACTGTTGTAGCTCTGGAATCATAATGGTTCTGTTTCCTCGTAAACACCATTCATTTTTTTCATTGTAGCGGTAGTTAATATTTATTAAGAAATTAAAAAAAAGATTTAATAATTGAAGAATAATGAGTACAATTATTATGTTTATGGTATCGATACTTTTTCATATTTTTTTGACTCATATCCGCCGATCGGCGGAATTAAGGATTTAGGTCACGTGACGTTTAATCAGCTGAGTGCGACGTTCCGGTTAAGATCAAACCGTTCCCAAATAAAAAAAGATCAAATATCATTAAAAATAATAATTCTTTCAAAATTTCTATTACAATATTTGCTCTTTCAACCTGAAAATAATAAATACATCCTAAAAATGAAGGAAAAATATTATAGTTAGTTTATTAAAAAAAAAGAAAATTCATAATATTTAACAAAAAAAAAAATCAAAAAATAATAAATTATTTAAAAATAAATACAAATAAATTTTAACTAAATAATTTATTAATTCATAATTTAATCTGTTACAATTTAATAAATTACACTTAAAACTATTAATTATGAATTCTTAAATATTTCTATTGAATAATGTATTTTTTTTCCCACAGAATGTTAAAAAAACTTTCAAATAATAAAAAAGAGAGCTGCTGCTTGTATATAAAGTAGAAAAACTACTATATATGCTTCAAACTATTCAGCTTACCTAACTTAAAAAACTGATGGGGAAACTGATGGGGAGACTAACAGAGAGTTTGCGAAAGAAAAAAATATTTTTATCGCTATAGATAAATTAAATTCATATCACACGACCTTGTAATACAATATGATTTAATTTGTGAAACGTAATTTTATATTTTGAGTTGTAGTAATTTGTAAAATTTTGTAAAATATCCTAATTTCGTTAATTCCAAAAATCGGCCCATATAAATATATTCTAAGACATTTTAATGAATTAAAAAAAAATTAAATTATTAAAAAAAAAACTGAGTTTGAGGGACCTTGTAGCCTCCTGCCTCCACATGCTTTGGCTTGTATTGCAAATTTTTTGTCTTGAACGTTTACGAGCACTATTTTGACAATATCTAGATGTGTATAAGAGACAGCCTTGTAGCCTCCTGCCTCCACATGCTTTGGCTTGTATTGCAAATTTTTTGTCTTGAACGTTTACGAGCACTATTTTGACAATAATATATTAGAAAAAATGTTAATTTACACGGGGTGTTCATACACGAGTCACGTGACTTTATTAAAAAGTTATGTAAAAAAAAATTTTTAATAAAAAAGGAATATGCAATATGTGTATTTTTGTCTGTTCTGCAAGTTTACTTAAAACGTCAAAGTTGATTTTGAATGTCAATTTTGATTTATTTAACAAATTCTTATTTTTTTTCCTGTTTTCGTTAAATTTAATTCTGGCCAACATTTAATGATCAGCATAGAAAATTCACTTTTTTGGAAATCCGTGTTTGAACACCCCGTGTACAAATAGAAATTGCCTTTCTATATTATCTGTTATTGCAAAATACATAAGTCTATTTTATTTAGTTACACAGTTGTAAATTTTGTGGCTCCTATTTTTGACTTGTTCTAGAAAATTTATTATTATCCTAAGTTCGTAATTGTTGATTGAAATTTTTAATAATTCTTTATGAAGAATTTATGCTTGGAAGAGATAGAGTATAGAAAATAAGAAATACACACAATAATTATATGGAAACTGTTTATGTATTAAATTCTTTATTGTTCAATAGTAAACATTTATTTATTTATTGCACAATAATTTTGGTATTAATCAATGGGTCTTTTTTTTTGAACATATAATATAGAATCATTTTTAATAAATACGTTTGCGCAAATTATTAATACTGTACACCAATTAAATATCTTTTAATTAAAAATTACTTTTAAAATGTTTTGTAATTTTCATATACTTTATGTTGTAAAAAACATGACAATAAATTTAGCTAGTTCGTAAGAAAAGATTTAGAACAATAACTTTCAAGTTTAACAAGTAGCGAAACTTCTATAATTTATCCGAATTATTAATAATGAAAATTTTACAAAACTCGAATGTTCGGCTCCTTTATTAATTTATCAAAATTGTATTTTATTATTACTAATTTTTTTCATATTTTAATTCCCTTTTTTAGAAATTAATATATAATTGTTATAATGATCTACAAAATCGGAAAATTGTTTTTTGAACACAACGGGTCGGGTCAGGATAAACTTTAGCATAAACTAGTTAAAATTAAAGCCCCAATTCATTTATGACATATATGATAAACAAACATTTATTACATTTATAATATTAGTTTTCTTATCTAACACAATTTTGTTGTGTTTTTTTAAATCTAGAATAATACTGTAAAACGATAGAATGATCAACGAAATAAAGAAATAACGATAATATTAATATTATTAATCGAAAGTTTTAATTATCTGTTTTTTTCGGAAGAATTGCCATTATTATTGGAAATATCATTATTGTTGCAATTTTGAGTTATAAAACTTGCTAACTTTTGTAAATTTTCTAAAGTAAAATTTGATAAATCGTATTCTAATTCACAGGGAACGTTATTTAATGTAAATTTTGCATTAAATACGGAAATTTTTTCGGTCTTATTTTTCGGAAAATTTTTATAATTATTAACAACTTCTTCGATTCTATTTAATTTATTGGAAAATAGATTAATACAGTCGGTTGTTACTTCGCAATTAGGACAAAATTTCGGGTTTCTCTTAGTTTTCTTCGTGCTTAGGTTAAGATCAATTTTTTGAACATACGATTCTCTGCGCGTTTTTGCTTCATGAATTTTTGATGACATCGGAATAAAATTTTAGTTTATTTAGATTTTGTAAAATCTAATAAGTGCATAAGTTAGAATTAATTTTTTTTTAGATTTTTAAACGTAGTATATATTTTTTTTTTTTTTTTTTTTTTTTTTTTCTTTTGATTTATTTGAAAATTTTTTCCAAAAAGCTGAAATTCAAAGTATTTATACGATAACTCAATTAAAAATTTGATTAATAATTTTTATCCGTTTATTCCGTTATTATTAATAATACGGCATGTAGCGTCATTTGCTTATATAAACACTTTTATTATGAAATCACGAAAAATAAAGAATGATTATATCGGTATAAACGGTATATATTGATATATACGGTGACACCTCTCTAAATGCACTCCCCTTGGGACCCCCCCTTGGGACCATAGTAAAAAATAGTAGAATGTGCACTTGGGGAGGGTGTGCATTTATAGAGAGTAAAATATTAAGAGCTCTTATAAGCTGGGACCAGTCCCACCGTGCACTTAAAGAGAATTTATATAGTGCGTGCACTTATAGAGGGTGCACTTATAGAGGTGTCACTGCACATCTTACAAAATTATAAATTTATATTGTCAATTAGGGAACTGTCAGATATTACCTGATATCACTTTAATATAAGACCCCCCCAGGTAAGATATGTTATATATATAATTCCTTATATAGTATTATATGTAACCTAAGATCTTTAGTCCCCTCCCCCCTCCCCCTAAAATATTAGTAATATCTGACAGCACCCAATATCTTATCGATGATTATGTAAGTTAAAATATTAAAATATGTACTGTACATGTCTTCATAGTGTTTATGTAATTATATATTTATAGAAAAAACAACAACCAACATTCCCATAGAGCAATAGATCGAATAGACATATCCTAAATGTATGTGATTGCCAACCGACTAAGACAGAAAATTTTTACGTAATAATGAGAGATAACAAATAAATAAAACAAAGACATTTCTACGATTATTCTGAAAAATTGTAAAATTGGCAATACAATACTAGCAAGGTAATTGGATATTTTTAAAATTCTATTTATATAACGCCAAGAACTTGGCAACGAAATTAATTTCTTGGCATCCGTTAAATACCTGGTAAAGTTTTCAATAACCACAAATTTGGTAATCTAAATAATTTATAGTATATAAGTCATTAATAGATTGATTTCTTCACCAAAAAAAATTTTTTTAAAAAAAAATTTTAGATAAAGAAAAAAAGTATCATTATTCCGTTAACTTCTATTCAATGTCGTCAAGAAGTCATATACGTGGCACTCCGTATGCTCAAAAAATTAATTCAAACAACCACAACGGAAGAACTACTAAGAGAAGTTCTTCGAAGTTGTGTCCTAATTGTAATGAAACAAAAGATTGTGTCAAGTTATTTTCTAATAAAGTAAAAAGAATTGAAGAAATTATTAACAATTATAAAAATTTTCCTAAAAAAAATACCAATCAGTCTTTATTCATGTCAAATTTCACTCTGAATAATAAACCTTATAAATCAGAATACGACTTATCAAATTTCACCTTAGAAAACTTACAAAATTTAGTAATATTTATAACACAAAATTGTAATAATGATAACAAAACCTCTTGCAAATTTTAGATTTTTATTAAATATTAAAACGTGAAATTCGTAATATTTATTTAGTTTAAAAAAGGATATTCTCTTTTAACTTTTGATATATTTATTATTATGACAAATTAATAGATTATTGTAGTTTCATTAATGTGTCTAGTAACTGCATCATGAAATTTTTAGGTAGATCAGTCCATGTAATTCATAATGAATTAGTTCAGAAATATGTCGAATTCCTGATGTCACCGTGTCAGTAGTGCACACGTTAAAATCAAACAAAATGTATATATGATTTCATTTCCAACTTTACATTATGTTTCAGCCACATTAATTCGGATATACAATTGAAAATAAATTACTATGAGTAATTTTTTTTACTTATTTAATGACCATTACTTTTTAAATAAAAAATTTTGTTGTTTCTTATATAATAATGTCTATAAATGCACCATATGTATTTATTTCAGATATTTATATCGTATTATATAAGTAAAGTAGAATATATTGTAATTTTTTTTTGTTTTTTTGGTATTCCGTTGCAAAAGTATATATATATATATATACACATATATATATACCTAAAAAAAAATCCCGAAAATTAGAAATACCTTTGAATAGGGTTTGTTCGTTTTTCTATGTAACCGCTATTGAAAGTAAAGCGATTTGCCCCATGTAAATTCTTGGTTGCAGCAGATATTCTTTTGTTATTTTGTTTTTGTAATTAATTTAATAACAGATCGACCCTTTGTTTGTCGAAAATGAAGATCATGTGGATTTGAATTTATTGTTAATCAATTAGTTTAATTGGGCAACGATTAATATATTTCGCATATCCAAATAATAATGATTCACTAAATAATACATTATATTTATTAACTGAAAATGAAAACATTGCTGTCTCAACGCTATGGGCAGCTGATCGAGGTCACATTAATCATAAATGAACTAATCCTTTTGTAAATTTTGATCAAATCAGTCAATGAACCAATCTAATGTATGTAATATAAAACTCTTTACATATGAATCTATGTACCAAATTGTATCGCACCAATGTAAGAGAGGGAGGATACTTTATATCATTGAGATACGAAACATCTCTGATGCATATTCACAAAATTATGTAATTTAATTAATTATTATTTGAACACATGAGGTATCAAAAGTATTTAAAAGTATTGATCTACTGCATATGTGTTACAACCGGTTACAACCGAACAAATAAATCGGCGATCCCCGTGTGATACGTATGATAATAATTACTGTAATTAATACTGTATTTTATATGTTCGAATAACAATGAAAAATGCATGCCACCTCCGAGGAAAATTTCTACATCATTGCCAATATATAAACATTTATGGTTACATTTATTCCGAATTAGTACCAAAATCTATCGATGGATAAGAGATAAATTAATTAATTTAATAAAGAAATTATACAATTAATATTTTTGTTGAATAACGAATAATAATAAACATGTTTGGAAATGACTTGATCACCTGAATCTACATCTTGATTATTGAATGTGATGCAAATATTTTAAATATTTTGAATTTTTTGAATATATAACTCTAGTCTCATATTAAATGTGAGTAAAAAAAAATTTTTATCATAAGCAAAATTCATATTCATTCCTTTCATCAATGTCATCAAAAAATCAAGAAACAAGAACATGCATGGCACCATATGTTCGAAGAATTAATTTAAATAACCATAATGGGAGAACTAAGAGAAGATCCCCAAAACTATGCCAAAATTGCATCGAAACAAACGATTATGTCAATCTATTGTCTAAGAAAGTAAACAGAATTGAAGAAATTGTTGACAATTTTAAGAATCATTCAAAAAAGAAATCTGTAAGGCCTTCTATATTCAATGCTAAATTTACTTTGAACAATGTTCCTTGTGAATTGGAGTATGATTTATCAAAATTTTCATTAGAAGATTTGCAAAAATTAGTAATATTTACAACAAGTTGCAGCGATAACAACAATCATTATAACAATACTTCATTAAGATAAACTTCGAAAAATTAATTTTCATCGTAAAAATCATATTTTGGATTTTAAATCATCTTTTTAAAATTTTTTTAGTTAATTTCATTCAGTTAATTTTCACGTGAAAATAAGTAATTTTAAAGTAGAATTTAATTTCAAAAATATGTATTATATGTATGGTAATAAAGTACTTAATAAGTTATGCGAGAAGCATTTATGTACATCATGAAATTTTTTAGTTCAAAAATATGTGGAATTCCATACATTCATGTCCTACATGGATCCACGTATTAAAATCTTTATTCGTGAATAAATAATTAAATTTGTTAACTCGTAAAGAGTCGTAGATTACAGAAATTACCGTCATTTTAATTTATGAGAACAATAATAAAATTACTAAAGTATGATAGACTAACACCAATATTGAAATTTTTCTAACGTGACACTTTTGATTTTTACTTTTTTTTTGACTTAGTGTATATTCAAATTTATTACATTTTTACTTTATTTTATAAGAAATCATAATAATTTCCTAGAAATAAAATAAAATACGAACAAATTTCTTTATATTGTGCATAAAAAATGTTTTATTTACATTATTTTATATATTCCTTCATAAATTTTATTAGCCAAGTCGTTACAATGCACTTTTTTGTAGCGCTGAACGAGTGTTTACAAATTTACCTGCCCTATAAAAATGAAATGTGTTAATATTTGTGTTCATGTGTAAAAAGCGTCTAAAAGGCACAATTTTGTCTTATTTCAATAAAACAAAAATTAAACAAAATAGTGCAATTTTAGACATTTATTACACATGAGCACAAATACAAAACAAACTTAACACATTTCGTTTTTATAGGCTGAGCATGCAAAAGTTTAATCAGGGTAGAGGTCTAGAAGACTGCATTTTGGAACCAGACCTGTCCAGAGACCTGAAGCATTGTACAATTAACAATTATAATTTTCTAGATTTTAATATTTAATCTTTTTTTTCTAATAAAATGTTTAAATCTAAAAAAAAACAATTGGTTATAAATTAGGTCATATTTAAGCACGGCGATTTTGTGAATTGTATTTACACAATTATACAATTAAAAATATAAAGTAAAAATATAAAAATTCAAATTTATATTACATGCTATGAATATTGTGATGCAGCAATTATTTGAAAAATAAATAAAGATTTTACGTAAAATCACAAATAAAAAAAAATATCGAATTGCCCTTACAAGAAATCTGTTAGCTTAATTTTTAATGTTTTATTTACTTACGTTAATCGATCTGTGGTACAGTTAAATTATAAATTTGTGACTCATCTTTGACACAATTTTAATTTATGAAAAATTAACCCCTATAAAAAACTTTATCCGGATTTTCTGTAAAACTTTATAAGCTTAGCCCTTCACGGATCTATTCACAGAAATGTAAATAATTCAATAAATTCCGTGATATATAAGGTTATTAATTTTAGGAAAAATGAGTTTTTTACGGAAAAAAAGATGGAATATAAAAAACGGATCGACTTTTTTTTTACAGAGTAAAAATTATTGTTGTTGTAATTTATTTAAAATATAAGGAAATCAATTTGACTAGTTTAATTTAATTCTTTTGGATAAGTTAAATTTCAGCCGGAATTAAATAGAAAATTTGGCCAGAATTATTGAAAATCTGGACCGGGGACCCAGACTCCGTTGGCGTAATGATGATTTGCCACGTGGTACTAGAATACTAGAAACAAAGAATTAAAAATTGTGATGATCGTCAACAAAAATGCAAATAATTAATTTTTTCTTGGCAGAAAGTTATATGGTTACAAACAATAATTCATTGATGTACTTAATGCATTTTATCAAAGAAAATTAAAATGGGTATTACATAATCGATCACTCTGATAATTCTAGTGTGTTATAATATTACGGCAAATTACTTATTGCATCGGCTTTAGCCAAATATTTCATGATTTCAAAGAAAATAAGGAGATAAGAGTGGTCATGTAATTTTATTAAAAATTTGAAATAATACGTAACTAACCATAAAAAAAAAAAATTAAACGGTGCAACTGTAAACATTTTTACATTAAGAAATCACACTAAACAATAAAATTCTACACGACGTAAAACAAATCAATTGGTCTCCCCAAATTGTTCCAAAGTCTGTTATTACGCAAATTATGTGTTAGCTTTAAACACTCATTTAAATTTACTAGTTTCAACTTGCTTTATCATTTCATACTATGTTGTACACGTGAATTGATTAATGAATTGCTGAGCACAAAAAATTAATTTTGCGACGTATATTAATAAATCTTTGGTGTTATCAATTTGATTTGAATAGCCTTAAAAATTAATTATCGCATAAAAATTAAATAAAACAATATCAGATATTATATTATTATAGTGTTATGGTACGTCATGCAATTTTCCAAATTTTAAATATCATATGCAGCTATAATTTTATTATATACCATGAATATCATATATCGAATTCATAATATAGTACGCCAGATTCGTTATATTCAGTGTCGACTGCTGTGAATAAAGTCAATAAACGCAATTTTACTAGAATTGCACAAATGATTTATGTTTACGGCTGATTCTATCAAAATAAGCTATTTATCTCCATACCAGATCCCCAGTGGTACAATTGCTGGGAGAGTTGTTCAAATGTAGGTGGGATCCATAGTATCATCATTTTTTATCATAATTCAGTATCCAATATGTCCGGCTTAAACCAAAATCTGCTGATTCATCAACGAGAGACAATAGGACAAGTTCTCACAAATCTTTCACACACACGTGCGATATTTAGAATTTTAGATCATTTGAGTAATTTATAAAGCTGTTAAAAAATTATATTAATGTTTTTATAAAAAATTATCTATAAATGTCTATATTTTTTATTAAACAAGGCCCTATATATCCTTGTAATACTTAGCTGATCATGTAGCAGATTCAATGATAGAAATAAACAAGCTCGCGTTTGTACTGATTTAGTTTGTTGAAATCTTTTTGGCTACTTTGACAAGCTGGATTTTCAGTAAAACCGGTTCTAACTTCACATTGAATGTTATGATTTAGAACAAATATAACTATAATAAATTTGTCAATCGTTTTGTCTATGTTCCTATTGACTAAATATTCAAACATTACATTTAATGAAATATTTTTTTTTTTTTAATATACAGTTCGAAAAATTATTTCTGAAATGTGTATAATGAACGTCAACAAAAAAAAGAGTGAAGTATTTGGAGAAAACTTCTGAATAATTTTTCAATAAAACCGAACGCGTTCATCTTTTATATTTCTAATTAAAGTGTCACGAGACAGTTCCGTTATACTCTGATATATATACTGTATATATATATATAAATAAGTTCGAATGCGGTGTATGTTAATTTATTATGCGGTTTCATTATATCCAGTGCAAATAAATACTAGTAGTTTATTACTTAAGCCACTTAGAATTGATTCTTCGTTTAACATAACCCCCCAGTTTTCAGAAAAATGTGAGAAAATAATATAATTTAGGCCGGAATTATAAAATTTAAATAAAAAATTACAAATCACATGACACGTATCGCTACTTATAACTCTGGCCGAAACTATGATAATTCTGGTCAACCAGTTAGCGTCCATCGATGGTTCCTACTTAAGCACCTGGAAAGATGTCAAAAAACAAAACCCTAAGGCAAATTTTAAAGGACCTACACCTAAGTGGTTTCAACAACTCGAAAAATCCAACATTATTGCGGCCGAATGTTCACGCCGCCTTTTACAAAATTTAACCGTTTCCTCGCCAGCGCGATACGACTCTATGTCACCTCCTATACAAAAAGCATCTAATTACTGCCCTAAGAATGAATGGACTATTTCTTGGGACCTTGTACACCAATGTGAATTATACGGCAAGACGATTGAACAACAAAATGACCTATACGGTACTAGTCTTACTTATCGAACACATTATATACCAGTGGTAGACGCTGATACTAGATCCAATTTAACACCCAAAAAAGTAACACCTACTTTGCGCCCTTGTCCTGGACAATGTGGTCATAGTGTACCTTTCAGTGGCAATTTGCATCCAAAATGTATTATTGTATCCCTAACATCACATTTGATTCTTTTTAATGTTCATGCAAAAAAATTTATACCCAACAAACAATTTTTAAAATTAGAAAAATCCTTTATTTTTCCAGTTACACCTTTACATACACTTCGTACGCAAGCGTTTACATTTAGTAAACATAGATTAATTATACCCAATGTTTTACCTTCAACGGTTCCTATTTTATCCACATTAGATTTATACTTAAATGCGAATTCGGAAATATTTAATAATTCGATTAATTTAAATTTAAATATTTCCTCTTCTCTTTTCATTAATAATATATTTGTAGGAAATAGAGATTTGATTATTCAACTTTTAGAAATAGCTAAACAATTTTTGTTACGAAAAAATTTTATTTTTTATACTGATGGTTCTTTTTTTAGTTTAGATGTTACTTCTTCTACTCAAACTCAAATGGGTTTTGCTTGGATAGAAACTACTGATGCAACTCCTAATTCAGACCCTCCTCCACCATCATACAAAGGCGCTTTATCTTTTAATCCGTCTTCTACCAAAGCGGAAGTTTATGCGTTACTCACAGCAATTATTGCAGTACCTGATAATAGTGAACTGGATGTTTTCACGGATTTGCTTAATGTTATCCATACCTTTCACGTAGTCACGAACAAACTAACTTCTATAAGAAGAATTTTGAAATGTAATAACCATTTAGCGTGGCGCTTGATCGATATCTTAATTACGAAAAAATCCTTGATTGTAAGATTACACAAAGTCAAAGCTCACTCTAATGACTATTGGAACGACATGGCAGATGGTTTAGCCAACGCTGCACGCCAACTTGCACCCTATGAAATCAACCCTACAAACTTACCGGGCTCATTAATGACCCCTATCTGGGCTTCTATAGCACCAATCGATCGTGACATTAGAAAATTTTGTCACAACTTAACAGA